CTGCTGCTGCTGTTGTTGTTGTTGCCACCACCGTTCGTCGCCTAGCTTGTGTTTATATGTTTACTTTTGCTATGATTGACATCTTTCGTGCTCTTCATGTTGCAATGTGTTCTGGTTGTTGCTCTTGTTGCGCGTCTTGGTGATACTTTTTGTTGCTGCTTTTGACGCTGCTGTTGTTGTTCGTGGTGGTAGGTGTCGTGGCGATGGTGATCGGGCGGTGGTGGGGGTTGTGTTGGTGTTCTTGTGGTGAAAGTTGTTATTCTTGCTGTTGTGGTGCTGCTTGGGCTTATCATTTGTCGCTCGCTGTTGGTCTTCGTGTTGCTGATGTGGCCGTGGTCGTTGTCGCCGATCTTGGCGACATCGTCGCCGTCGAGGTCATCATCGACATCTTCGTCGTCGCCGTCAGTGGTTGTTGTTCTTGGTTGCGCCATCGAATTGCGTATCGTTCTGCAGTATCGTGCCGGTGTTTGAGGAGCGCGGGCCCCCGGTAAAGCGAAAACCCTGAAGACCCTGAAGCCCAGATCCCGGCCTTGCTCGAAGCCCAGGACGCCCAACTTCGACACTGCCGAGGGCCGCTCCCTAACCACGAAAATGTCCGATGCTCGGGTAAGATCAGGGCTTAAGGAATTCGAGCGGTAGGCTTGCTGAGTGCATTAGCGCTAGAGGCTGGCTTCTCAGCAAGATCAACGGGATTGGTGTTTTTAACTCGTCAGAAGCATCATTATGACCTGCAAGACCTAAGCAGAGGCTGGCCATTTTGAAGCCTTTCGGCGCGGCTGCCGCGTGGGATGCCCACATCGGAGGCTGCCCAGTACTGGACGGTGGGTAAGTGGGCTTCAAAAAGCAGGCAAACAGGCAGACAATAAAAGCACAAGCGAAAAGTACGCAGACAAACAGACAAGGGAGCAAGCAACAACGGAACAAAGCAAGCGAGCAAGGAATCAAACACACACACACACACACGCACTTTCTTTATATATATATATATATATATGTGAGAACATCTATTATACTTATATATATATACACACACACATATATATATATATATGTAGAGAGAGCGAGAGAGTGAGAGAGAGAGAGAGGGAGTGTGTGTGTGTGTATGTATATATGAGTATTATCAAGCATATACTTGTTACACATACGTCCTTCTCTATATGTGTATATATGTATATACACATATAAACCCGTTCACACCCACAAAGGGATCCGGGTGGCCAGGTGACGCCTTCTCAGATGTTGATGACTTTCGAGCGTTACTACGAACCAGCTCCGAATTCTTTCGGCGAGGTGCTCAGCTTTCTGAAAAGTATCCTACGCCTCGTACATTCAGTCCTAGTACGTAGGCACTTGGCATCCTTATGTTGCATGCTTGCCACTTCTCTGACCCTTCTTTTTTGTGGGCCGCACAAGCCGCAGAGAAACACCGCTGGGCTGGAAGCTGAGGATGGGACTTTCACTTCAAAGGCAACAGGAATGTGGCACCAAAGACCCCGAACACTAAACCAGCAAACAGAATCTGACAGTGAATGAAGTAAAGCGTGCATGAAATCTTCGATCCCCCAGAACCTGAGGCGAGCCGGTGCCACAAAGCTCGTTGCGTTTGAAGAGAATGGAAATACCCATGACCTTCAGAGTCTTGGCCGCATGAAAGCAAGAGCAGTCAGTTTGCTGCGCGCTTCTTCGGATCTAGCTGCTTCGTCTGGCTGTTTCGTGGTCGTGAACAGCAGCAAGACAACAACCCTTAACCCTCCAGGTACCTACTTTATAGGGCCCTAGGGGCTCTAGTACCCTATATAGTAGGTACCGGGGGGAGGGAACGGCAATCCAAACCAGAACAAGGTCAAAAGCGCAAACATGATGCACGGCCACACAAGATCAGACGAGAGGAAGCAGCAGCGACAGCAACACGGCGGAAACCGCAGCAACAGCAACTGAGGGATGCCGCGATCCCGAATGTGGACAAGTGTCGTGTGTGAGTCTTGCAGAACACCCCGCTAGCGCAAACACGACTGCAGCATACTGCAAGGATACTGATGCTACCACCACCGTGAAAACAGCTACGACAACAGCAAGCAAGAGTGTGACTGCTTCTGTTTGTACTGCTGTATACTGCTGTCTCCGGTTTGGCATTCGGGCCTCAGGCTTTCAGATTCTATGAGTTCCTAGCGGCCCTAGCGCTTGAGTGATACGGGTGGGTGTCCTCAGAGATGAGACGAATCAACTTGATCTTGTTGTGCTTCTTACGCGGCTCATCCAGGCATCGTAGACGCTTGCGGCAGTTCCGAGTAAGTAAATCTCCGTCAGGCGAGCCCTTGTGCACGCGCGCTTCAACATTATGTCGTCATACCACGGCGACTTGGCTGTGAAGAATCTGCAAGTTGAGAACTGGTTCATAGTCGTACAACTTGGAGCCCTTGGTTCAGGCACGATGTGGGCATCCGCAATTCAGGCGAGTTTCTCGTCTAGGGTACGAGAAGAGCCACCTTTGATGGGCCATCCCTGCTGTGGGATTCTTTGGCCGGGTTGTAAATCGCAAGTCGTGAGCCCCTTATAAGCAGTAAACCCGAAGCATCAAACCGTAGCGAACCCGAAGCTCTGCTGAATCGAGTTCAGAAGATGCTTTTCCGTTGCTGTTGAGGCCTTTTGGTGGGCCGAGACCTGAAACCTTCAGAGGCTAACTATAAGTGTTTAGTGTTTAGGGTGTTAACATAAGGTTTGCAGTTGCATGGTATCTGAGGAGCCTTTTTCCGGCTCGATGCCGCCGCGAATGGCCTGCAAGTCTTCACCCAAAACGACAACGGCTGGGACCAGGACCGCGTCACCGGTCCTCCAAAAAGCGTCGTCGTGGTAGCTGCAGTGGTGGTGTTGTCGGTGGTTTTCGTGAGGGTAGTGATGGCGATTGCGGTATGCGATGTCGGTGGCGTGGGTGGTGACGTTTGTCATGCCGGGCTGGTGGCTGGTAAGGGCCTTTCAGTATAATGTACCAAGATTCACTCTGCTTTTGTGCATTGGCCGTCTTGGTCTTGGCTGTGGGGCTCACAACCACTTTGGTTGGCAGCATGTTTGCCTTTCGAATCGGTCGCAGTTTGCCATCGGAAGGTTCATCAAGTCAGCAAGTAATGGGCCACCTCACACTGACCCTTTCTTCACCCTGTAGCCATCTTCTCATCTCTTGCAGGGGCAGATCATGATGACCCCCGACAAGGCAGACTATGGGTCCTCATCTGAGCGTATGAAGCTTAGTTGTAGTGGCAGTCAGACAGGACCAGGCAGCCTTCAGGGTTCAAGTTTGGGAAGCAAGGTGTTTGGCTAAAGATAGGACTTGACTCGCGGAAAGAAGCCCCAGCTAGATTTCTGAGCCTGAGGGCGAACAGAAAGCCCATTGATACCACAGAAAAGCTGAGGTCAGGCTAACCATGTTTCCGCTCTGCACACCGTCGACCAGTCCGAAAAGTCGTCGTGGATCCTGAAGCCGCAGCAACCCTGGTGCAGGTATGGTTAACTCCTTACGGCTGGTCGCAGGCGATGCTGTCGCAGCATGCGAAGGCGATGCTTGTGCTGTTTTGTGATGCAAACGGCTGATGGACTGCCGACTGTATTCAACTGCAATCGGCTTTTCGATGCGCTTGCTTTCTCAACTTGGGGTGGTGATGGTGGTGGTGCTGCTGCCGCTGCCGCTGCCGCTGCCACTGCCGCTGCCGCTGCCGCTGCTGCTGCTGCTGCTGCTAGTCGTGGTCTTGGTTGTCGTCGGGGTGAGCGTGCTGCCGCCGCTGGGCATTGCACAAGACCATTTTTCTATATTTTTCTCCGTCATGTACAAAAGATGTGTGCTACACAAGGTAGGCCAGACAAGCTGTCCCGCGCTGTGAGGCGAGTGCCTCTGCGTTTTGTGAACCTGAAAAAGACGGCAGGATTTCTACATCCCGCTGGCCGTGTCCAAAAGTTCCGCGGCTGTCAGGGTGGACGTTGGAGCGTATCAGCATCCTGGCAGCTCTGCTTCGCTTTCTCTCTATGCGACAACCCCCCCCCCCTACTAGATCTCCAAAATGGAGCTAGGCCAATTGCTGTCGTCGCTTGAGCCGCAGCTGTGGCACTGACGAATATACGATTCCTTCGCTGCTGCTCCTGCCTATTAACAAGATATTTGTCGTCTTCGTTATCCGGCTAGTCGCGCTGTCGTATCTTGGTACAGTCATAACCAGCAGCACCATCGCTCTTGATCTTTACAGCCTATGACCGTCAGTTCACCATCAGCAACGAAGTCACCATTCACATTGTCATCTCCGCCATGCTCAGCATGTTTACCTTCATAGTCGTGACATGTCCACATGCATGGGACGCGTTGCTTTGAGATGCTTATTATTCCTATTCGTGACGTGCCCAATTGCCCGACGACCAAACGCGTGCGGTGGCAAGTGCAGGTTTTCCATAGTATTAGCATGGTGATGTTGTGATAGTGTGATGAGTGTGCAGGCACGACATTGCTTAAGATTATTGTTTGCTGGTTCTCATTCTGACCAGATTTTTCCCTTTGGTCGATGTTGGAATTGCCTGGCTTGCATCACTCCGGCATCCGAGGTCGCAAAACCAAAGCATAGGACTTCGCGTGGTAAACTGGGACACGACGCAGGCCAATCTCACTGTGCGATTGAGGCCCGGCTCCTTCTGCAAACCTTGCAGCACGGTTTAGGGTTTAGGGGTCTTCTCACAAGAACAGTAGCAGTAGGAGTGTAGGTAGGAAGAGGTGTCTTCTTTCACAACTCGGAGACCCTAAACCCTAAACCCTCGTGATGTTGGTCTTTTCTGTTTTGTGTCTGGTGTCCAGGCTTTCGGCACGCTGCCTTGGCAGCTGCTCCCCTCCTAGACAAGCCTTAATGTAGGGGCCTAAATAATTACCTACACTTCTTTTTTTTTTTTTGGGGGGGGCCCTTATTATATTTTATCGTATTATTAATCATGGGCCCCAAAACCCTAGGGGGGCCCTTATTATGTTTTATAGTATTATTAATCATGGGCCCCAATTAAAACCCTATTCTAGGCCCCGACATCAGGCCCGAGAACCCAAGGCCCTACATTGAAAGCCCTTTAGGGTTTAGGGTTTAGGGTTTAGGGGTTTAGGGTTTAGGGTTTAGGGTTTAGGGTTTAGGGTTTAGGGGACTGTGTCTGCTGTGGCCGTTTGTTGCGCCCGCTCTGGCTCCTGTTCTCCGCTTCAAAGGCTCCAAGGAAGCACACACCGAAAGTGCGATGGTTGAAGTGGGGATACAAGCCGACACAACGTTAAAACAAGGAAAGCTTAGCAGGGAGAAAAAGCGCAGAACCAAGCACTAGCGCAGCAGAAGGAACACCAACGAGTGTAAACAAATGCAAAAAATATTTATATATATATATACATATATATATATATGAATTCGCCGTACAACTCAAGAACAGACTCAAGAAGCTGAGCTCGCAAACGAAAAAGCGCAGCTCAGGCAGCTGCGGGACATAGGCCGGCAAAGTGGCCGCTTACAGTAAGCAGCCTGCCCAAGCGAAGACAAGCACAGCGAAAGCTTCAGAAAGGGCTCTGCTCCTTGTGGCTCTGAGGGTTGTTTCACCCTCTGTCTTATCATACAAGCATCCCGGCCCCACTCACTTGTGTTTAAACCCGGTGAAGCTATGCGCTTGCGAGAGGGGTTCTCCTTGTGAGGTGGTCTTGGCCCCTACCTGCCGTTCACGCCTACGTCCTCACTGCCCCCAACTTGGCGGATGTGAATCCTCCATGGGAGCCGCAGCCCCTAGGACCAAACCTGGCGTGCAATGCAGCTGAGACTCTGACCTCATGGTTTTTAGAGACCATGGGCCTCATGCCTGCCCGCGGGGGTCGAGATGCAGTGTTCTGGTGCATGGCTATGCAGAGAGAGCCAGTCCTTCGACACATCAGCGTCCGTCACTCTATCAAATGGTCAAGATCTCTCTGTCAACCCGGAACCAAGAGCCTCAACCCTGAAACTCTAAGCTTGACTATGAAGTGTCGATCTTCATTAAACCAAGCGGACACATGCACACCCGGATTCAAAGCCTCGCATAGCCTCAGAGAGCGAAGATAAAGTGTCGACCGTGCACCACGCGCTGATGCGAGGAAGGTTGCGCCCCAACCCTTTGTCGTGGCACCGCACTGCTCGGACGGCTTCCTCAGCGTGCTGATGGAGCTGCCCCTCGATCTATCTGGGCATGTAGAGGGGTCGGCTTCAAAGCGGACGGAGTCGAGTTTGGGCTTTCGTGGTGAGGTCGATTTCGGCTTCCTGAGTCTGGGAGCTGTTGCGAGAGGATCAAAGCAAACCCCTCGCAAGGCAAACCCGCGAGAACAGATGTTCACTCCTGAGAGAAGGACCCTAGTAGTAGGGTAGGACACCTTTAACCATTTTGGGGTAGTACAATCCCTATATAACCCCTATATAACCCCAAAGATTAACCTTTAGTTCCCCATGATACCCGACAAGTACGGGACGGATCGAGTGCATGCTCCAACCCAGGAAGCCATGGTCTTTCGTGACAGCGTCCATCGCAGCTCCTTTGCAAACCTGAACTCATGGGGCTCCTCTCTTAGATGGCCGTCTTCAATGGGCGCTGGCTAAGTCTAAACTTGAGAGTCTTCAACATTGTGTGTGCCACCCCCGCCATCAACGTCACTCTCAGAGTTTGAGCTTTATGTATGGCAGCGATTCTTTGCGTTTCTGCGTATACGAGCAAAGTCGATCCTTGCAAGCTACTCGAGGAGGACGCATCGCCTGCCGTCAAGTTTTTAGGTTCGGGGCTTTTCCATCTCGGAACCAAGGGTGCGTCACAGTAATCACCTGCCCTGAGCTCGTGTTGAAGAGGAGAATACAAAAAGCTTTCATTCAGAGATCAGAATGTACCCTACGTCGTTTCATGTAAGGACAGGCAGGTAATATGTAACAAACGAAAAATGCCAGGGCCTGTTCCCCAGAATGTTGTTTGCGACCGGACCGCCAAGGTACCTCCTGGCGAGCTGATTATTTGACGTTTTCGCACGCGCCGGAAAATAAATCTCGGTGTCGGTTGCAGGGTTTATCTTAGGAGGGACTTCAGGGTCCATTAAAATATAGCACTTAAAGTGCAGTTGTGTTTGGAGGCCTAACGATGATCGAGCTTGCGATTTCACGGTTCGGACCGACTGCTCTCGAAGCTATGTGGGTAGTTTTCTAAATTATGGTCCCTTTTTGGGTCCTTATTATAATACGGCACCTATTATTTAGGGTACCCCAAAAGGGACCATAATTTTGACAACTACCCATGTTCATCCAGGTTCGCGTCAGGCTGCAGGCTGGCTTAGGCTTCAAGTGCACACGGATTAGGGGTTCAGGGTTTACCTATAGTCTCCATTGTAGTTCCCTTTTTTGGTTTAACCAATTATTATATTAAGGCTTTTATAAGGTATCCCCAAAAAGGAACTACAATGGAGACTTTAGGTAGGGTTCAGGGTTTAGGGTCACGAAGTCCCAACAAGAACACCAGAGCTGCGATGTTGATCTGTCCATGCGGCAAAGCCTTTGGACATAGATGCAGACGGTTGGATAACAGGAAAGCCTGGATCTATTTTTCAAGCATTGCAAACGGAAGCAGCGAGCTGTTTTAGTCTACAGTCCAGAGTTCTCTTCGTCTGAACCTTGCACTCAGAGCGGACATCGAGATCCTTAATGCGGGCGCTGAGTTGAGAATTTTCGGTGAATTGAGTGTTCCGGGTTTTTGTTGACAACCCTAAACCCTAAATCCTAAACCCTAAACCCTAAACCGGTGACTTCCTCGGACCAAGGCCGGTCGAGGCAATGCGCGGACTCCACCTTCACGAGGACTTGGGCTTCCCCTCAGAAGGAACTGGCACCCTAAGGGTCCAAGTACCTAATCATCATATACTCTCCCAAATATTAACCTAGAAAACTACTATCCGCAACCAAAGTAGCTTATTATTGGGTCTTTTGGAACCTTAGAGGAATACAGGGGCCTGAAGAATGACTAATACTCTTTTGGGGTTCCTTATTATGACTACAGTGTAATTGCTATTTTGGGGGTTCCTTATTGTAGCTACAGTGTAAATACCCCAAAAACTCTGTTCTAACTATTAAGGCCACTTGATTACTGTAGTCAAAGTTTTGAAACCCATGTCTCTAAGGGAGCCCTTATGGATCGCTTCTAGATCCGTTTAAGGAGCCCATGTGTCCATGTATCCAGGCAGCATACCAGGGATTCCTGATGAGTCTCTCTCTATGTATATATATATATATATTTTTGTATGTATGTGCATATACATGTGTGTATATGTATATATATATATATCTATATATACATATATATATATATACATGTAGGTTTATCTATATATATATATATACATATATATATATATATATCTCTCTCTCTCTCTCTCTCCATCTATGTATCTACTTATCACCTAGCTACCTACCTACCGACCTACCGACCTACCGACCTACCGACCTACCTACCTACCTACCTACCTCCCTCCCTCCCTGCCTGCCTCCCTGCCTCCGTGCCTATCTATCTATCGATCTACCTTTCTATCTATCTAGCAGGCTCTGGATCCGTACCCCGCTCTTCTTGGAGGACGCACTCCCGGCTCGACACCGCAGTCGACACAGTCTTTGCCTGCGCCGAGGCTACCGGCTTTGGTGTTGGGCAGCGACAGACATATAGTCATCAACAGCAGCAGCATCAGCATCATCGTCGCATCGCACAGGCAGCAGCATCATTGTCAGTATAAGTATGATGGAATGTCATGATGACCTCTACATAGCATATTCAGTGCAGCCTTTCCGAAAATTGTATAAACGATGTTCATGGTTGCGTGGACGGCTTCAGATTGAGATGCGCAACTTCGAGGCTGTCTATGATCTTTCTAGTCGGCTGGATGAAGCAGAAGTGCAGATTGCTCCTTGGAAGTCAGTCTGTGTCATTGCCTTGCCTTCATACCAAGATGGCATCCTATGTCATGTATCCCCTATCCCTGAATGCAAGCCCTCTTCACTTCACCCTAAATACGATGCGACTGTTCAGAACCCCGTCTGTACGCACAAGTTTCCGGACTGCTTGGGAGCCGCCCGAAACTGCAGCAGCTTTCCCTCGGAGCTTTCCAAGTTGTTGGAAACTCCGACAGACAGTAATCCAGATTCTACTCGGGCCAGCTCTTCGCCAAACCTACAACACGACGGGATAACTACCGAGGTGCAAAAGTTGTGGCCAGCCACAGTCAAGTCGTTTGTACTGCAGCTGCTTTCGAACCCGCAGCTTCTTCATGATGCCGCAGTTAGTTAAGCCTTACAAGCCTTAAGCCCCAAACCCTGAAACCTATACGATCGATCAGGTTCATCTGACGCGTTGGGATCCCCTTCCCGATTCTCTTCTCCAGTAACCACCACCCCGATAATCCAAATCGTTGGAGCAGGCCCAAGGCGACACCAAAAGCTGCACCGGCAGCCAAGAAGGCAGACAGGAGTTCAAGGGTTTAGGGTTTAGGATTCAAGGTTTGGGGGGTTTAGGGTTCAGGATTCAAGGATTCAAGGCTTGGGGTTTAGGGTTTAGTATTCTAGGTGTGGGTGCATATGGGAAATCGCAGTGTCAGACATCGGGATTCATACAATTCGGGGTCCCTTGTCTGCATGGGGGGCGTGGCTTATTGCAAGGGTCGTTCTAGGTGCCATTAAGGTCTTGGATTTTTGGAAACAAACCTATTTTCTCAGTTATTTCTCAGTTTGAGTATGAAGGGCCTTGGGTTTAGTCGCGAGGGACCACTGCCGCGGCTCATTCTATCCTTACTACTCAAGGCTCTCGTCCTCCTGAGATGCCATACTATAATATTACTATACTATACTATACTTTATGCTATTGTATTACTACACTACCATATGCTATGCTAGTGTATACTATATACTATTAGACGACGTTTTACTACACAGCACAGAAGACGTTTCAGTATGCTGTACTATGCTTTATTAGACTATCCCTAGGCTTCCAAGGACCTTAAAGCTAGGGCCCTAGACCCCTTAAGGACCCAATAATAAGGTCTCTGGAAGCCTAGGGTATAGACTTGGTTATATCCGAAGGCCTCAGCGCCGAAGCCGGCACCCAAGCGTTCGGCCAGCGAGAAATCTGCAGCCAGGCCGGGGTTGAAGGGTATTTCCTGTTTTTTGGACCCTGAACCCTAAACCCTAAACCCTAAACCCTAAACCCTTTTGGGTTCGGGGCGTCAGGGGTTTAAGGCTTAGGGTTCCCGGCTTAGGATTTACGAAGTCTCAGGGCTCTGGGCCTGGAGTTTAGAGTTTAGGGGTTTGCGTTCGCGGGTTTCTGGCTTCGGTTTTCGATATTGGGGGATGTCGTCTTTAGTTTCTTCTTGGCCAGAGAGGTCTGGACTGGGTTATTTTAGATTACAGTGTGTCCTCCCGTGCAAATCGTATCGTTTTGCTCATGACTCCGGATTTGCCATACTTCATGGTTCGGGCGGTCAGGCAAGTAGCGAACCAAAGCCAAGCTGGCCGCGGAAGTCCCGGAAAACTCCCGAAACTTTCGTGCTCAGATCCCGAACACGAATGATTGAAACGTAAAAAGTCCTTGCGTGGCACCAACTTTGGGCTTTTTGAAGAAGTGGGCCATTGCTGGCTCTCAACACCGAAAAGCCCTCGAGATCTTCCTCACCCCCAGAAGTTTTGCTGCGCTTGCGCTGTGAGGCCCAAAAGCAAGGCCGCAGCAGATCCTCCGTCGGTCCTCGCTTCAGTGCGTTTGTCGAAGATTGGAGATTCCAGGGTTTATGATGTGGGGATTCGTATCGGTTGCCCGGAGGACTAAAAGTGCCGAAAGGCTAAAGGGCTTTAGAACAGCCATGGTGTCAATATATTGGTGGGTACTGGACGATCTGGACGGTGGCATATTAATATGTTTTGTTATATATATATATATATATGTAGATATCAGAATTTAAAAGATAATATAATTCGTGGTTAATGATATCATACTATAAATTTTAATGAAATATATGATTGAGTTTTACTGTCGGGCTCGAGCTTTCTCTGTCTATGTAAGAGGAACAGCAACCTGTCCTTGAATCCTCGTACTCGCCTCCAGACTACCCGCGCCCGACTTCGACCGTACATCAGGGCTATGGAGGACCCTAAACCCTATAAACTATAAACCCTAAACCCTATAAACCCTAAACCCTAAACCCTAAACCCTAAACCCTAAACCCTAAACCCTAAACCCTAAACCCTAAACCCTAAACCGGAACCGACATCAGATGCCCCGAGTTGTCAGAGGAATGGTCCAGCTCTGCACTTGCTATTGCGGGCACTGGCCACTACTTCGCAGAAGCTCACTTGGAGGATTATCGAATGGCCCCAAAAGCCAGGAGGTTCCATTACCGGAGAGCGAGAAGAGTCCTGCACAAGCCCTTGAACAATTTTGTAGCCAAGTGATTCGGTGGCCTGTCCAAGACATGTCAAAACCTCCCAGATGCAGATCCAGGAGCCCAAAACTCAAAATCTACAGTCCAAGCCTAGAAG